ATCAAACAAGTGATTAACAAAAGTTTCTTGCTTTCTTTGTTTTTGTTCTATATAGGATGATGTTGTTGTAATTAGTTAAACAAACAAAAAAAAAGCTTCAAGGAGATGATTTTTACCAAATGTAACATCAAAAGAGAGACTTGAACTCAGGCTTCCACGACAAAAGCTCCTTCTCCATCGAACTCACTAATCGAAATTACGTCCGACTAGTTTGGTAGTGTATCCTGATAACATAATCATCGGTTAAGCTTGACGACATACTCTTATAAACCAGTATTGCATTTACAAAGTCCTTTCCAAAACAAAATTATATTGATCACAATGCTTAACTCCACCGGAAAGAGTATAGTGATAAGCAGTCAATGGTGAAAGAGGGATACCAACTTATATTCAGTCAAAGAAAAATTGAGAAAAAACTGACAAAATTTCTTGTAAAACAAAAGAGATTGAACAATTTCTTATTGTTTTCAAGGATAAAATCTAAATGAAAATGATCATATGGTTGCAACTACAGAACGAATGAGGATAGACGAGTCAGGGACGTTGAGCTTATCAACCGATTCAATCTCGCCCCAAACCTGGCCTTGGAGTATTTCGAGCGTAATCATTGCACACCAAATTCCTTCATTAATTTGGACTCTCCCAAAACGTTACGAGCTTCCCATCATAGTTAGCCATCTCAATGCAATCCTTTTTATCAGAAACCATATCTAGACCCTTGACCTCGGTCCACACTTGAAGCTTTGAATCAAACCATTGACACTTTTTGTTACAACAACCATACGTTACATTACATGGTCTATCTTCGTCTCTGTTACGTCCCAACTTCCTTGTTCCGGATCGTAAACATAGTGTTTCTTGTCGGTTACAACGTAAAGCTTTCCTTTCCGATCATGGATTCTTTTTACGAAGATAAGCGAAGCTCAGGGTCAGGATCTGGTAAAGATTCCCAAGTTTGAGTCTTGATATCGAAAACCTCTCCCCAATGAGTGGATTCCTCTGGATCGCACCCTCCCAATACACATATTTTCTCATCAAGGTCCCTCATAACCAAAGTATTCATACGAGCCACCTTCATGCTAGGGGTTTTTTCAATCCTAACATGTTGCGCCTCATTTTTACACCTACTAATTTCGAGAAAGAAAATACGATATTTATGTAAATTTTAATAGTTTTGATAGACGAAATTTTGATTGAGCCTTTGCCTTTCAATTACCATAACATATGGCAAGGAAAAGAGGCGCTGGCTAATGGAAGATGTAACTTGGAAAATAAGCTAAAGACCAACTTGTAGGCTGAGAACTTGTGTCATAGAAACTATAATATATTCTTAAATATCAAAGCCATAGTTCGATTTTTTTAATAAATAACTTTATTGCAAAGACCATTATATGTATGAACTAAAAATAACAAAATTTGTATGATGTTAAAATTCAAGCCACTAGAAACCAAAACTTAATTAAAATCAAGGTGAATGAAAACTAATATAATTTTTGTATCATGTATTATGTTAGCTAATATGATTAAAATCGTTAATATCTCTATAATATTAAAACAGAAGTATATTTAGCAAAATGTCCAAAATTCATTCAAATATTACTGAAATTGNCATTGNCTTTTAACTAAATANATCCAATTGAAAAGNGTAATTTTGGANATTTGCAGTGGCAATTTNAGTAATTATCAGGTCAATTTCGGACATTTTGAAAGGCATTTTCGTTTTTTTTATAGCACATTAATGACATTTTCGTTATTTTAGGAAAATTTTGTAACTGCATACAAAAAATGATAAAAAAATATATAATAAATTTTTAAGAATTCTATCCCCCA